AATAGCCTAGGAATTAACCCCTTCCATATGAAAGTGGATTGTTTATATTATATGTTATTATTGTATTCTATATTATATGTCGCCGCCCGTTGCAGGCGTCGACGACGCGCCGCGTTCCCGCGGGCGCGAACAAAAAAAATATCGTATGAGGAAATAATCGATAACAATACGGATTCATTATCTCTTATGTAGAGTAATTACTCAGGATTGTTTAACATTTATAATATATTACGATTATACTTATTGTATTTGTATTATAATTTATAACAACGTTTGAAATAAAATATAGTAACCATTGACGTGAACAACCAGTCTTCGGATCTTCCTTTTTTATAGAAATCACGTGCTCGAGGTTGTTTATCGATGTGAAAGAATAGTTTAAGCACCGACGAGGAACGGGACGGACTGAACATCGAATGTAAATTTTTGTCACTTGCAACGTTATCGACAGAGTATAAATAAATACAAGTGAATGAATGAAAAAAAAATATATATTATTTTTTCATTTTTTTTTATTTGCTTCGACATTAAATTCTTTGATATTGAATTTATAATAGAATCACCGTTGCGTTCTTTAAAGATTCTATTACGGTTTAAATGTCCGTTAAATCGCGCGCAATTTCTGCGCATGCGCGGCACTCTCATTTGATTCGCGTAGTACTTTACGAACCATTCTGGTAAGTAAGAAGTGCTGGAAGAAAGTTCCGCGAAAGTGGTGATATTGTTATAAAAATGGAGCCCTTGTTTCAAATAAACATTGAAAACCTTGATGTCATATTCGTGGACATGAAGAAGAGGTTAATGATGAACGACGAGGACGTTCAGGTATAATACTCTTTCATGCAACTTTCGGCGTAACATTGCATATGATTCTCTACCCGGTTATGTGCAATATTTATACAGGAATTAAGAAAAGCTTTTTGAAGGCACAAATATTATTAACCCTTTGCACTCGAAACTAATTGAAATACTCAACATTTTCCGACGAGATATAGATGATTAACGATAATAACAATAATTCATAGATAAATTAAGCAACAAAGCTATTTCATTTAAATACTTCATATAACAATACAAAGTTTAATTTAAAATACTAAATATTCAATTTCATAGTTTTGCTGTATTTGCACACCTCCCGAGTGCAAAGGATTAAACCTTCGTTAAAACGTAAAACACGAAATTTCAAGGTTATAGTTCAACTTATAAATAAAGATACTAGGAAATGGAAACATTCTACGAAAAAGAGTAACAATAAGAAAGAGATTTACAGATAGCGTGCGTCGAGCGAATAACTAACCTATTCAAAGGTGCTGCCAGCAGTGAGGCGGTTCTTTCCAAACTTATTAAGTTCGATGTACTGTCGGCCATATTGGAAATTCTCCATACACTTAGTAATCGTCTTCTTCCGTACGTTCCTCATCACAGAATCTCTATTAAAAATCTCTACAAAGTGTCTGTTAAGAATAGAATATTTAATTTTCCTTTAAATCTGTTAATTAATAGAATTATTCTCGATTTTCTGGACATGGTAATCGTACATCAAAAGTTTTACGAGTGCCACGTAGCAATGGATGCTGTGAACTCGATCTTAAAAGTTACCATTTGCGTTATCAAGTCTCGGTGCAAAGAAAATCAGCTTCTGGAGAAACTAGTTTTCGTTATTCACGATATATTGAACAGGTAACCCTTTTAGCTTAACAATAAACGAAACTTTAAGAATCACATTATCTTGAAAGGACAATTTCATAATTCCATGTACCAGTTAAGGATTTAAGGTCAATGTTTCGATGAAATTAATGGAATTCTGCAAATATTTCCTGGAAACAGTGAACAATTGTAGTTTAAGCGATGAAGATGCATTATTAGCAATTTTTGCGTGCAATACTGTATACACCAGCGGTTTCCAACCTTTATGCTCGACTCCCTATCTTTTAATAGATATAATAATATAAACGTTTTAAATAATAATAACTTCATTACAAAATAAACATTACTTCACTGAATTCGTACTGTTACAATATGAAGTGTATTTATCTGTAGAAATTATGGTATGAACATTAAATTTTTATTAAAAATTTTGGTGCCTCCCAAGTTGGAAACCGCGGGTATACACTGAAAGAGTTGTGGCATTTTAGAGCGGTGGAATTGAACGTGGACTTTGAGACGGTTTGCGTGCCGCGGCAAGTTCTTTGCCTCCTGAGATCTTTGATCTCGGAGGACTCGCCGGATCCGAAGTTGAAATTTCCCGCAGTCGCGTTGCTCAATATCGTTCTTGAACACGCGGACGTAGAAGAGGAATGGGAGGACGTCGCGTTCGAACTCTGCCACAAAGCTCTCGACTTAATGAAAGAGACCGTTGACTACAGTGACGACGAAGCCTCGATCCCGCCGGCCGCGGCTGCGTTGTGCGCTGTTTGCGCTTCCGGTGCTCGGTAACTAAACAACCGTTACAGGTCTCTTTAACAGTAACTCCCGGATCATTCGCTCGAAGAGATGAAAAGAAATTTTACCTAAATCTAGAGAGACTTCAAGTCATTAAATTGTTTGGAAAGCAAAATAGCTAGTTTGATGCTAAGATAATTGTTACCGAAGCAATTTGTGAAGTTTCTATCTCAGTTTAGAATACACACTATCAGTTATTAAAATACCTAATCTTTATTCCAATCAATTTTCTCATCATTCCGCTATTAGCATTATTACGGTGTTCACAGAAAAATTAATCTCCGTTCGTCTAAATCTTGAAATTTAGTTTTAAAGTAGATCATTCAAAAACATTTACCGAATAATGTTTACCTATATACATCGAGTTAAATTCATCTATGAACATCGAGTTCTAACTCGATACCCATCAAATTGCCGCGTTCTGTAAACATAATGATTAGTGTTTACTAATAATAAATGATTCTATTCGATCGAATATTTCCTCTTCGAGACGAATTTCGAACTCGAATATCCGGGCAAATGTTCTCCACCAGGCTCTGTACGGTAATAAACTCTCGCGCGGATACGTTCGGGAAAATTCAACAGCGGGAAGCAGCACTGACGAAATCTGTCTACTCGGCGACGATGAACACGCTGATACCTTACCTGAAAGTGAGTCCGCAGAGGCCGTTGACGCGTTACTCGATCGCGCCGCGACATATTTAATTACAAGCCTGAAAGCGCCCTTTTATTTCCGGCCCGACAGAACGAGGAGCCGAACGAAACGGACGGGATGAAATTCCGTAGGAACCTTGTCGCTGCTTTGAACAGCCTTTACAAGCTGCCCGAGTGCAGCCACGACAACTTGTCGAACCACTTGACCGCCAACGGATATCTGAAACGATTCTTGCTTTCGACCACCAGACTCCCGTAAGTACCGTCGTTCGAGCACGCGGTAATTGATGAGACGTCGGTGTGTCCGTGGGAATTTCATGCGGGGACCTACGAATTGGTCATCCTTCCCGTGAATTTAACCGGTTAACTGTATCCGACGAGTATACCCGTCATCTTGAAACCTAAGATAACACTAATTCTTTCGACAGTTAATTATTTATTTGTTTGAAACAAACATGTAATTATTTTCTTATTTAGTTTTCTGTTTTAATACATTTTAGAAGCGTTCGCCACGCCTTTAGAATAATAGCGTATTTAGTTTCTAAAATATGATTACCTCGAGAGTTATGGTCACCTTAAAATAGTCTCTCGCAATTCTAAGCGCAAATAGACATACAGAAGTTCCACAAGGAATTTAACAAGCCTACAGACATTCTTCAACCTTACACTCCACGGAACACGCAGAATATTCGGAAACAACGAAATAGAGGAATTCGCCGCGATTAACATTATCTCTTTGCACTCTAGTGACTCTCAGCTACCGCTTGATTTAACATAACAAAACTAAAATCTTACATATAATATAAATCTTAATACAATGCATCCACATGTGAAATATAAAAATAAACCAGCTTCGCTTCTTAATTTATATTTCCTCGTTAGTTTCCAGGAATATCGTCTATATCTCAGAAAATCTCGCATACCTCTAACGAAGAACTCCTGAGTGCAAAGAGTTAATTTTAGTCCTGGAACGCCACCCCTGAAACGTCGAATCCTCTGGACAGGACGCCCCTGTTTCCCCTGCTTCTAGAGAAAACCTCCGTCGCAGTACTTGCGTGCTATTGTCGCGGGCCGTAACAACCCTCGCGGCTAAATCAATGGCGATTGGCCAGTGGCCCGACGGCGCGGCTGCCTTCGAGAATTTAATGCGGCGCGGCTTGCTCGACTTGCCAAAGGACCAGCGGCAGTGGAACGACGTTCTGGCTCGTCACGAAAACAGCGCGACCGCCTTGATGACGCTAATTTATTACCACTACCACGGGACCAGGGAGTACGTGCAACCGGACAGATAGCTACTTTGTTTCGCGGATCGACACGCTAAACGTCCGCCTTTCAGACACGACATGATATGCTTGAGATCGCTCGTCATCAGGACCATGAATCTTCCGACGTCTCAACGGACGTCCGCGCAGGCCCTCAAAGTTCTGTGGTTCCTGTTCGCCGTCGGATCTGTCTCTCACCCGTGTCCGAACTCGGAACAAGATTACAGCAACGCTGTGAAACGATTGGCAGCGATCTTGCGACACTCGAGATTGAACGAGTGTTACACTCATCACATCGATCTGCTTCGATTCTGCTTGACGTGCTCCGACGTGCCTAAGGACTTGAGGAACAAGGCGTTGGACCTTTGGCTGGTGGAGGCTGACGGGGACATCAAGCCTTTGATGACGCTGGATTGCGGCCGAGTCGTTAAACATTACTTATTGGTATTTTAATCTGGTTTATTGGATATTGACCCTTTCGTTACCTTGAACTGCCGAATGGAATGTACGCTTGCGTCGAATTTGAAAATTCAAGATTTGAAATTTCAGCTAAAGTTTCGAAGAGATTGAATTGAAATTGTCTGTGGAATTTTGTACTGGCTCTTAGCCTCTTGGATGTTAGCTTGAGGTGGTCGGGATGCAAAACTAAAGTGCGTACGTTGCAAAGTGATAGACACCGCACAGTAGTATTCGCGGTTGAATTGTCCCGCATAACCGCACGCTGGCGGTGAACTCCGCCGTAACGAAAGGGTTTTAAGCGAGAGAGGTTTGTGTACCGTGACTCCATTATTCTTGCACGAATAGCTTGTCATACAGACTGGTTACTCCGAGAAGATCATCAAGCTGGCGATGAAGGGGATCCGGGAGATGATACGCGACGATAATGCCAGGGAGATCGGCGAAATAGTTTGGCACATGCTGCCCGATCTCCTTTCTTCCTCCGCACCTGACAAAGGTAGATTTTCAGGAATAACTCGACACGCGCCTCCGACCGTGAAATTGATTTCCTTTCAACGATCTTTTCAACCGTATAGCTTCGGATTCCTATTGCAATTGCGCCCATTCGAGGTGTGCGTGTCATTAATTATTCAGCAGAAGAAAACGAAACTCTGTCTTATTACCAAACTGTAGTAGATTGAAATATCAAATACTAAATATCTGTGACAAAAAGTTCGCACTTGGAATAGATAAAATTCAATTTTTAATGAGAATGAAGAAACAATTTGAATCTACTCGATGGTATAACACAAGGGACAAACGCAGTTTCCATTTTATCTAACCCGTAGCTTTATTGCCATGACGCACAGTGTGACCGCCTGTGGACAAAACCCACAAATTCGATTATTCACATAATGAAAATTGAAGGTTACCAATGTGTTGCTAAGTATTTCCTACATAAAATGATCTTCGTTTCAACAGTAACAATTTTGCGCAAATCAGTCTCGTTTCTCCATTTATGCAACGTTTGAAACAAATCGCAGAACATCTATCGTCATTTAAAAAACTCCAGAATATCCCTTTAATGTAACAAGAATATAACCACCATATCCTTAGCTGTATACTTTTAACAACATTTCTTCCTATCACTTGTCCTTCTTCTATTGAGTTTTGTCCAGAAAACTGGCGTTTGGCCGCATTGTGCGAGATTAAATCTTTACCTCGAGTAACACTGCAAATTTCCATCTTTCCTTGATATTTCGAAAACGAGCGTATCCGTGTTACAAAAGAAAAGTCAGAGTCCGAGAATAAGATATAAGAACGAAAGGTGAAAGAGACAGGGGAATAAAAAAATTAAAGAATCACCTCGCGACAGACGAGCAGATCAAGGCGATCCTGGAGCTGGCGAACATTTTCATTCCCGATTCCCTGTCCTCGAGCATAAAGAGTCGCTGTGCGGACTGCCTCGCGACCATCATACTGAAGAGGAGCTCCGACTTGGGACTGAGGACGCAGGCAATAATGCAGTCGTACGTCTTGCTGGTCACGTCCGCGACGTCCAAGCCATTTACAAGTAGATGTCCCACGGAATTCATTCACGGTAGCCAATCCCGGAATCAAATGGAAAATAATCCCCCTCCCCCCTTTCTCTGTTTGCTCTTTCTCGATCGCAGTTCTGGAGAAGTACATCAAGGCGCCGAATTTCTTAGAGGAGCTGATCGCGCGTGGATTTTCAGAGGAGACGCCGGAATTGTCCGCCGTTTGCCTGAAGCTGCTCGCGTTCATCGTCCACTGTCACGGTAGATCGACGTTCCAGGTGTGATCCGCGTCCACCGTTTCATAAATAATGGATTCCCGTTGCGAACCGAATGGAATCTAACTCGTTCCGCTCCTATTTTTATTTGTTTCCCCATTTTTCTCCCCTGCCGATGGTCCCGTTCCGCTCTCTGCAGCGCGATAAGCCGTTGGCGATTGACGTGCAGAGCTTAGCCGATTTGCTGTTAAATACGAGAAAATCTGTCCACTTCGCGATCAATGGGATGCAACTAGCGCTGGAACTTTTCACTCAAAATATTGACGGGTCGCCTGTCAGGCTGGACGGAGTCGAGCGTGGCGCGGTCAATCTGTACGAGACGATGTGGATTGTTCACGGGATAGTTAGTAGCCTTCCCTTATCGATAATTGTTTTCTTTCAACGAAGAAATTGGAAAATTCTTTTCCTCTGGTTCTTGCAATACTCTGTATTTCTTCTCCTTTGTCAAGTTTATTGACTCTGGAAACACTAAGCCTTTCAAAGTAAAAATAATTCGGAATTGAAATAATAGTCAATGATGTTTTTGAAACGTTCTAGATGCTGTAAACGAACGTTTCCAATACTTTACGACTCTTTCAATTTTTTCATTGTTGATTTCTTATTGTTAGAGGAGTTCAGATATTATTTATACAAAATCCATTTTCAATCATCTACAATATTAACCCGTTGCATTCAGGAGGTGTCTCTCATTCACCATTTGATTTGACACAGTAAAACTATAAAATCTGATATTTGATGTTCAACTTTGTATAATGTCTCGATACGTGAAAGATTGGAATAAAATAGCTTTGTTCCTCGATGCACTTGTGATTTCCCTTTGAGTTGGTCTCAAAGAATATCGTATTCCCCTTGTTAAACAATGTTAAATATTTCTAATGAGAAACTTCCGAGCAAAGGGTTAATACATTAATATTCTGTTACTTATTCGTAATGATTTTTCACGTTTACTTATGAAGGGAACAATGATCTCTTTTTCCAGAGCGACCCAGTCCAGAGTGACGTCGTCTACCAATGTCTCGAGGGTATCCTCAGGTTCTGCCACGAACACGCGGAGGCCCTGATGTACCACTTGTGCACCCTGATGAGCAACTACGACCTAGTCACGTCTACCTTCGCGTCTCCTCGCGTGTCCTGTAATTTTCTGAACTTCGTCTCGACCTGGCTGCGATATCGGAGAAGATACTGCGATGATGAAGGACCCTGGACCGAGAAATCCCTTTGCAAAACATTGTTCGAAGAGACTTGCGACTGCATTTTCAAGTACGTGAACGCTGCAAAGGACGACAAGGCAGATACCGCGTTGCACAGTCTTCGTTACGCGGTGAGTGCTTCAAACAACGTAATATAATACTAACTTTCGAAGAGCGAGATTTCTGAAGGCTGAATTAATGTTTCATCGATTGAAACGTCGATCAAGTAGACTGTGGAACTTTACGGATTATATAAGAATCTCCAAGAAATTCGCAAAACACGAAGGTCATTAATATTTAACGCTGTTCTATTTCGTTCTTGATACCCGGTAATTATTCGAAAACGAAACGCGATTACATTCAGTGTGAATATTTATAAATTCCCGTGTGAACATGCACGTTCCCATATACCCTCGCGGTCTATTGATTGCTAACGAGTTTGCCACTGTTCCAAGCCGGTGTTAATGATAATCGATTTAAAACGTTTGTCCACGGTTTACATCGCTCGGGTTATTAATATCTTAGAACAGCGTGGATTAAAAATCCTGCGTATATATGAAACAAATTATTTACTACGCTATCTTATTCGACCAATAATCTATTCAACGTAAACTCTAGTTAACGATCATCCACGATGAGGAATATTGTTGTATCAGTTCGCTAACGTATGTTCGATGTTTCAATGATTACTCTTCAACAATAGAAATTCGCATATTTCCAGCTGTCGCAATTCAAAGGGTGACCAGAGGATCGTTCACTACCGCCGGGTCCAATTAACCAAAGAGATCCAGACAAAGCGATATATTTCTCTTAACAGTTTATTTAATCCGTGCAACATTGTTTGTAACATTATTACTTCAACATGGCAAATACGTGCGTACAAAAAGTAGAAAAAGATTATCCAGGACGAATCTCATTCGTCCGCGTGTGTCGCGTGCGCTTTGGTTTGTCTGTGATCCTGAATTACAGCGTTTTGTTTTCTGGTATTGGTTTTTTCTTTGCTAATCCGTATGTATTCCTTGGCTCTAATCGCCCTGGCGCGGCGGGACGGGGCGTAGTCCCCTAAAAATTGTCATCGGAACTGTTTTCTGGACGTGTCGGTGGTCG